CTAGTATTGGCTCTGCCTGGGTGGGGGGTCTGACTTGGGGGACCTATCAAAGAGCACTAGCCAGTTTCCCTCCATTTTCTGAGAGGACAAATTCTTGTTACTAGTCAGTGAACCTGGCTCCTGATGAGTATGGTGACCACCATGAAGCCCAAGGCACCCCAGCACCAATTCTGGGCATGCCGCACATACCTTCCAGGTCTTGTGTTCACCTACTTTCCTCCATTCTGTCACAGTATTGTATAGGTAAGGAAACTGGCTGAGAGCTCCTCCTCAAGCCATGCAACTCTTAAGTGGCAGTCTCAGTACGGTTCCACTGTGCACTTCAGCGGTGGACATCGCTTCTCGGTGACATTGCCTTTGCACTGCTCCTGAGGGTCCCACCAGTCTGTCCTTCCTGTTAATCCCTGGGCTGCAGAGATGTATGTGGTACTCGAGACCTGTTGCTGAGGATGTATGTGCTACGTTTCTGTCCTCATAAATACGCTGACTAGTTGGTGGTTTTTTTTGGAAAGCTGCTTAGCTGTGATTTGAGACATAAAATTTTCCAGGAGCATAGCCCAGACCAGCCTTAATATGCGGATAAGTTCTTTCCCAGTTGGGACTTGTAGCTGCTTCCAAGATCTGTTAGTAAAGCAGAACTTCCCCTTGCCGCTAAGAGAAGCATTGGCAGATGAGATACTAAGAAACAGGAATGATAAAGTGAGATGGTCAGTTGCCTAACCAGAGTTCCAGAAAGAAAATAATAGGGAGATGGAATATTCAATGACAATAGCTAAGAATTTTCTAGAACTAAAGGAAAAGCCATAGCTAAAACAATATGAGGAAGGTTAGCATTAACTGATAAACAGTATAGATATGATTCAAATAAGCTCAGTAGAGATCTAGGTTCAGCTTTTGAAAAGGACACTTTAAACCTGTAGATACACAGTGTTAATGGGAGTATTCACGGTCTCCAGGGAGGAGGGTAGTAGGGTGTTTTGCTCCTGCCGGCAGGGGACAGGGCTTTGAGAGATTATCGCTGACAGGGGTCACAAGAGAGAATGCTGCAGGAGGGAAAACAACGCAAGGCCCATGGTGCCACAAACTACATCCTAAAGAATATATCTATATCTAAGTCCATATCCTAAAGAATAACGTTTTGCTTCTGCTATGAAATAAAAATATAAATAAGTTTTATAAAAGTGAAATCTGTTTTTTCACAGGGAAAATACCCTGGTAATTTCTATTAACCAGTAAAGAAGCCTTGGGAGAAAAAAAATCTCCCACAAAGCTGAAAAGTCTCATTTAATTTGGGTTTTTTTGTTTTTGTTTTTTCTTGGTACCAGGGATTGAACTCAGGTCCTTGTGCTTGCGAGGCAGGCGGCAGAACCACTGAGCTAAATCCTCGGCCCTTTAATTTGGTTTTAATGACAAAATATCTTCATAGATTTATATTTTTTTCTAGATTGTCTCCTTTTAACCCATTCTTGTTAACTCCACAGGTTTACTGTTATAACTGTTGTCAGTGAAGCCTTCCTTTTCACATTTCTTTTTATCATCTTGCATTTGAATGTAGACTTGAGTGTTGAGAAATTAATATATTCTTCCACCATCTTCTCATCACATTACCAGTCATGTGATTCTTGTGTCACTTATGGGAACACTGGCATATGACGGCTGACATTTTGGTATTCTCAGCAGTCTCTTTCGAATGTGCTGGGCCTTGGTTTACCAACATGTTGCTAGTGTGAACATCTGAGCAAGGAATGGATGGTGCCTGAAGAAGGCCTGATGCTACCTCAGTCCTATTTTATGGATACCGTGCTTGTGTTTCCAACTAAACTTTATGTCAGATTCTTCCTAGCTCTTTTACTTACTGATTTCTCCAAATACAAAGTCCCACCAGATTTCATATCTGGAAGAATAAAGCCACACTACAGCTTCCAGACTCGGTGCTATTTTGGGGTGCGACAGGTGGATGACTGGGGCGGGGAACTGAGAGGGCTCCAGCGCTGGCAGAATTGCTCCTTCTGCGCTCACACAAGGCAGCGATTTCATAGCTCTTCTGTAATCATAGATTTCCAGGTTCATCCAGATACACTAGGGATAAATCTGTCCTCTCATTTCACAAAAATTGGCAATTCAGTTGCTGTACGGTAACCTACAACAATTAAGTGCTATGGAAATAGAGAACTTTGAAATATGCAGGTTTTCTCTCTGGCTCTAATGCTTCTGCAGCCTCGTCTTTCAGTGACTGATGTGTTTGTGTGTGAGGACCTGTGTAAGGGTGCCTGTGTGTGGCTGGGGGTGGCAGGGACAGCAGTACCCTGTGGTCCCTCAGGGACATGCCAGAAGCCCAGATGACTCCCCCATGACCGTGAGAAAGACAGTGATGCCCATCACTGCACTACATATACTGCAGGCCTCCTCAGTGCCATGGAGGAAGAATCAGCTGGGTTGGAAAGCAAGACAAAAGCTGTCACTTTTTTTTTTTTTTTTTTTTGCAGATGATAGGATTATTAACCTCTTAGAAGAATCAATGAATCAAAAGACTGACCATTAAAATTAATAAGTATACATAAGTGCTGCCAGTTATAAGTTGAACGTAGTACAAAAACAAACATTCCTGGAACCAGCCAGCAATACTTGACTAGAAAATGTAATTAGAATCATTCATGTCAGCAAAAATACCCACAAAGTATGTGGAACACTCAAGTCCACAAAGCTACTATGAAGAATATTTCAAAATTATAGTAAAAGCCAGTCTGAATTGCAAATTCAAGGCCAGTCTGAACAATAACTTGTCTCATATATACTGCAAACATGTAAAAAAAAAAAAAAAGAAAAAGAAAAACAGGATTAAGAGCTGAATGGAGAGGAGAGGGGAGAAAAGGAATGAAGATGTGTCCTATGTCCTGTATAGGGACCAGCGCCACACAAGGAGTGTAGACATTATGTACTGCACACATGCACTGACTAAAAAAAGAGCCACTGAAAAAAGAAAACTGCAAAAACTAAAACAAAAATTTGAATAAAGGCTATGGAAGATTGAAGTAAATGAGACGTCATGCCCTTGAATGTAACACTATTATAAAGATGTCATATTTCCTCCAGTTTTTTTAGAAACCAAATAAACTTGCTGTGAAGTTTATATAGGGGAATAAAGGCCCCTATGTCGGGAGCAATACTACATAATTTTAGGGTAAAATCATTTGGTTAGCCTAGTTCTCTTGCCTACAGCCCAGCTATGGAATTCCGAGACAATTTGGCCTCCGGTCACAGCTGAGACCTCAATGATCCGGTGATGCTGTCTGTGATTCTCCAGGACAAGAAACATCCTGGGAGCTGAAAACATCCTGGGAGGAACAAACGTCTACTCAGTTCCTGGTTGTTCTTGGATTGTTACATCTTATTTACGCAGGATGTACTGAACTCTCTGCAAGTCATTTGTTACATTTGTTTCTCCCGATGTACTGAATAAAAGGTGCGGTAAGCTGGGGGCTTTTGCCTTTGCTACTCAGAGCAGCACTGATCAGACCTAAAGCTTAGCTTCTTCTTAGTCTCATTTTTCTACCTTTCTGTAACTCACCGTGTACTGCTGTGGCTCGCAGGAGACTAGGACTTAACTGCAGAGGTTCTAGTAACATCCCCTTTCCCTCTTCCCTACACCCATAAATAGCTTCTTTATCTTTAAAGAACAGTGGCGAGCCTGCTCTATCAGATATTAGGGCATATTATAAGACTGATGCTATTTTTAAAAACATTTGTGGGTGTAAGATCAAATACCCTAATGTGTGATAGAGATTTCAGAGGTAAATTTAATTACAAAGCATTAGGAAAAGATGGATTATTTGGTAAATAATTCAAGGAAAAATAGCTTAGAAAAAATACAAAATCCTTACCTAACCACGAGTGGATCCTAGTGGCAGATATACAAAACTTAAAACTGTAAAGTTAATGAGAAAACTGTTTTATGATCTGGGTGTGGGGAAAGCCCTAAAACTTCAAAGGCATAAATCATAAGGTAAAACAAAGATGAACTGATCACATCAAAGGAAGGAGCTCTTACCTGGGAAGAATGGCGTGTGCCCATGACCCAGCTGCTGAGGAAGCTGAGGCAGGACTGGGTGGAGGCTGCCAGGCTGCACAATGAGACCCCATCTCAGGACAAATGATCCACCCAGTGCAGGCTATCCCCAACAAGGGTCCCCTGTGAAGGGAGCACTGGGAAATGATGCAGCATCTGTCCCACTGAGAAATTAACATCCAGGCGTGCAGATTGTCAAGGGGCTGTGACTTGTGCCGAGAAGTAGGCAGGCAGCCTGAATGTCCACCTTGGAGCGTGGAGTGGTAAAATCAAATGGGAACACACAGAATATTATGCAGTAACCAGAAACTGCTGCATAGGAGTGTGCCCTGGAAACTTGACAGTCCTGAAAATAGAATTATACTGAGTCCAAAGAAAGCAACAAAAAGAAAAAAACCTGAATGAGATATAAATTTAAAATATCCGAATATACAAACAATGCAAATGAAATAGAACAGTTGCCCGGTGAGCAGGGAGAAAAGAGAGTGAGGTAAGTAAATTAGAAAAAAAAAAGGGTGAGCTTGGTAATGTGCTTGTAATCCCACCTTTCCCTTAGGGAGGCAGAGACAGGAGGATCACTGCAAGGGCCAGACTGAACTACATAGATGATCCCGTTCTAAAAAGTAATAATAAAGAAGGAAAATGGAGGGTTTTTTTGCTTTTGAGCCAGTCTCCCTATGTAGTTTAGGTTGGCCTTGAACTCAGTATGTAGCCCAGGCTGGCCTGGAACTCGCAGCAATCCTCCTGCCTCAGCCTCCCAAGTTCCAGGATTATAGGCGAGCACCACCAGCGAATAATTTTTAAAAAGGAAAAAACTTTAAAAAAGCATTCCTAATGATCTTAAATTTGACTTGGAATGAATGAGATGAAGAGTACCAACAAGAAGAACACCATCCATGTAACGGTGACTGCTTTGTTTCCCCAATTTACACAGGGTTGAAGCTTTGCGAGAAGCAGCAACTGCTATTGAGCAAGAAAAAGAAGTCCTCCTGGAGATGATCCACAGCATCCAGAACAGCCAGGACATGCGGCAGATCAGTGATGGTGAGCACCGTCTCCTGCCTGAGGGTCCCAGGGCTCCTGTTCAGCTGCTCTGGTGTGGGTCACGGCACTTGGGCGGCGGGAGCTGCAGAGCAGCAGTCATGTTCCTGGGTGCTTCCCCTGCCCCTCAGGCGAGGACAGAGCCCGCCTGCCAGCACCCACAACTTGAAGCCCAGGCCCAAACAGTAAAGCCCCATTTCCCTCAGGTTCCCACTCCTAACTTCAGTGCTTTCCAAGTTACTGTGCTGCAGAAGACTGAAAAGCAGGTGAAGGTGAGAGCAGGACAAGAGATATAGACAGAGGAACTGAATTGAGGTGTGAGAGGAAATGGAGAAAATTCAGAGCAAAGGTAAACGACAGGACCAAAACACCCATCAGTGTGAAACCATGTTGTCACCGTCGCAGGAGGGCGTGACTGTCTGTGGAGGAGTGTGTCTCACTAGCACTCAGCTTCCTACCTCTGCGTTCATGGGTCTCTACAGGGCACGCCAGGGGCCAGGCAGGTGGTAAGCAGAGCATTTGACTCCAGAACCAACTCACTCATCCACAGTGATCATGATTACTCTCTCTTTACCATCCTGGCCAGAGACTGGTGAATTAGGAAGGGAGTTGTGGAACAAGACAAGGAGGCTGCTGGCTAATTTCACAGAATCACTGGACAGCTGACAGCTCCATTTCACACTGGCCATAACCTGACGTCAGGCTGTGTCAGCCACATCCTTCTAAGGGGGTGAAGTCCATGCCTAGGCCTGAGGCCAGCGCATCCTGCATTTCTTCTATAGGATGTCCCTGCAGCTCTTCCCAGCACACACCCTACTTATGCTGCCTGCTTAACTGCATGTGATCTCCGTCCCGGTTATGAAGGCAGAGCTCCCCAGCTTGTGCAGATGCACACACCTGAGATGCCAGCTGGTGTCCCGTGAGTAGATTTTCAGGGAAAGGTATTCTGCACCCTAGCTCGCCAGCCTAACACTTCATCACTTACTTGTGTGCTAGAATATGTCATTACCTTTAAAAAGTTTCATAGCATAAATGTTTAAAAGGTAAATTTAGCCACCACAGTATGCGTTGGTGTTCTTGACATGGATAGTTTATGTCCCCCGTTGATTGATATTTCACAACCTGTTGTGTTTAGGAGAACGAGAAGAACTGAATCTGACTGCAAACCGTTTGATGGGACGAACCCTCACCGTTGAAGTTTCAGTAGAAACAATCAGAAACCCACAGCAGGAAGAGTCCCTGAAGCACGCCACGAGGATTATAGATGACGTGGTCAGCAAGTTCCTGGATGACCTGGGCAGTGCCAAATGTCACTTAATGTCACTCTACAGCGCGTGTTCTTCTGAGGTGCCACCAGGCCCAGTGGATCAGAAGTTTCAGTCTATAGTGATTGGTTGTGCTCTTGAGGATCAGAAGAAAATCAAGAGAAGACTAGAGACTCTGCTTAGAAACATCGAGAACTCAGACAAGGCCATCAAGCTGCTAGAGCATTCGAAAGGAGCCAGCTCCAAAGTTCTGCAAGCAAATGCCGAGAGCAGACTGAACTAGTCTCCAAGCTTACAGGCACACGGGTCATGTCAAGATGCTAAGATGCTACTTTAAGTGACAGTAGTTCTTTATGTCAGGCATAGCCACTTACTTGATAGGAACAGTTATTTCAGATGAGGAAACTATTGCAGTGTCAGTTTTGCAACTCAATTGAAACTAGTATTTTAATTATCTAGAGATTTTAGACTGAATCCTTGCCTCATACTAGGATATAGCACTATGTATTTTACTATTTTGTAGATGAGCACAGTATGTGGGGAAAGTAAAGCTCAGCTAGGGGCAAAGTGTCACTGGTCTTTGCTAGACTGGGACAGAGAAATCGATCCGGGACTGGAGCCTTCAGAAGCTCCTGCCTTCTGCAGTGCACACCCTGCGCGAACAGCAAGTGTGCCTCGATTCCAGGGAACACAGGCAAGCCTGTCCTGCATCCTCCCACTCATACAGATGTCTCCAGGCATCTGTTTATACCAGATTACTTTGAAGCTAAAGATTTATGCATAATATATTTTTACATACTTGAACACATGGGTTAGAATGTGAGACAATCATCTTTCGTTTTACCAGTGTGAATAATTACATATTCACTTGGTCTCTCAAATGCATTCTTCTAAAATTTCTACGTTGTAACTTGCCTTTTCTTAAAATGCTGCTTGTCAATTTAAAAGGCTGTCTTTTTGTAGCTGTGCCATAAAGTACTTGTCCATTCCCCCCTTGGACATATGGGTTGTTTGGAGCTTGTTGCTGTTACTGAGACGTGTTCATGTACACAGCACTTTCTCTTCCTTGTTTCAGTTCCCAGCTTGGGGTGCACTGGGTCAAAGGTTTATACATTTTCATGGCCTGACACTTCTACATTTTTTTGGTATAAATGCTGTGAGTTTATACTGTCTTCATTAATTAAATGTAGCCAATTCACTGAAATCTTTTCAACACTGATGATTAAATTTTTCTAACATTAAGACATAAAACACCTTATCTACTTTGCATCTTGCTTCCTAACAAGGTGGACCAATGTATTGATCCTTTTTTATCCATGATAAATGAAGCAACCATAGAACACTTATTAAATGTTAAGTAGTGCTATTGATCCACAAAAAACCTCAACAACTTCTCTAAATGCTTTGAAATTAGTATTTCACACTCTTTTCTGTGAAGATCCACATCGATTTTATATATTTCTCCCTCTCAGTGTAAATAGTCATGAGCTGAATTTTCTGCACAGAATGCCAAGTTAGTCTGTATGGAAAGCAGTTACAACCTGAGGACCTCCACTGCTTTCCTTACCTGGCTACTGTGCTCCCTGCTGGCTGTGCCCCATTTGGGTCTTCATCTCCCTGGAAGCCTCAAGGTTCATCAGCACACTCTGATCTGCTTCACTTTCAGACAAAGATTGCTATGTCATCTTGTTCTTTAGCAGTGTCTTGAAAACTAAGAAATGGGCAGTCAAATCTTGACTCCTCAAGTGCTGTCTTCAGCGTCTGAAAGCCCTGTGTGTGTGGAGAGTGCCCTCACTCTCTTCCCCTTCACACTGTGGGTCGGTTATTCCAGCTCTGCATTCTCTGCATAGTCTCTTTCCCGTTTTTGTGCACTGTGCTGCAGCTCCCAGTCTGCAGTCTGTTGGTCCGCCCTCACCTCCACTGTGAGCCATGTCAGACAAGGTTGGCCTGGAAGGGCAGCTACTGTGCGTTGTCTCAGACTGCCCCAGGCCTGTCCCATCTTAGGATGGCCCTTCTGCCACCCCTGTTGGCACCGCTTCCCAGGGGTGTCCATTTGTCCAGTCCTCTGTAAGGATGGCTCCCTGAGGGGTAGCACCAGGGCGCACGTTCGCAGAAAGGAACGAGCCCAGGAGAAAGCTTGACAGTCTTGGAGAGGACCCTCGAGGCAGCATCAGCCAGGCCATCAGAGGAGCGGCCTGCGCCCAGGTGCTCGACAGAGCAGCCAAGGCCTCCACAGGTCAGTGCCAGGACTCATTCTGCCACAACACTGCTGACAAGCAGGGAGTCGGAGAGAATTCCCCAACTAACAGAGTAGCTGGCAAAATGAAAAATGTGCAGTGATTTATGTTCTGAAATATTCATGCATTTGTCCCTTTCAAATGACGGTGATAAATAATGACACATCTGAAGTACACATACATGATAATGCTATTTTTGAAGGGTGGATTTTACAATTATCTACAGATACAAAACAGAAGTGAGAATCTTGGAAAAAGGGCAACAAAGACGGATGTTTGAGCTCAGCCTGTTCTCTATGTGCATACGTCTGCTCACGTGGCAAGCAAAGTGGGACAGGATCCACACAGAACAGCAGGTACAAGAGCCAGCTCTGTCCCAGCCCAGCAGGGCAAGGCCCAGGGAAGCTCACCCTTAACCTGGCCCAGCTTGAGATTCAGGAGGCCCTGCTTTGAAGGGAGGGAGCGAGACAGAGCTGTCGCCTGCAGCCTCTGCAGGCCTGACTCGAAGTGAGCATCTGTTAAATAATTTGAGTCAGAAGTAGCCAGGCATGGTGGTGATGCACACCTTGTAAGCCTAGCACTCAGGAGGCTGAGGCAGGAAGATTGCTAGTTCAAGGCCAGCCTGGGCTATATCATGAGACCCTGTCTCAAAAACAAACCAAAAAACCCATAGTTATACTACAGAACAAAACAAGACAAAATAACTTTTCTTTAGAAGAATGACAGTGATAACACTATAAAAGAAACAGGTTCCTGGGCAAAATTGCGGAAAGCACAGTGCCAGTAAATCCCCAGAGTTGGAGTTGCGAGCCTTGACAGGTGTACTGTGTAAGATTTTGTGGGTACGAGCAAATCCCATGTAGGGGTGTTCAACAGAATTGGCTTGTAAGGCAGGGACTCACTGTATACACTGCTGCTACCAAAATGAGTACACTAGCTATGGAAAAGGATTTGAAATAGTAAAGATAAAGTTATTCTGATTTTTAAAGAAGTCACAGTATACTTCTTACTATATATTTAGTTCCACTGGTGATACACATCATACATATCCCATGAAATCCTGGCTTTGAAATGCATTTATTTTTTGATTACTGGAATTCATCTTTGATGAAGCTTTAATTAAGGAGTATATTTTAAATTAAGCTTGAGGGAATAACGAACCTAATACCAGTACGCACAAGTGGTTTTCCATTTATATTATTTATTAGCACAAAGATATAGTAGGGGTCCAGTTTTTCTTTTAATCCAAAGTTTTAATTTTTAAAATACCTTTTACCAAGACCCTAAAGATGGGGGGAGGGGAGCACAAAGTTACACAGATTACAGCCAGATTCCTCACTTGTCAGGACCTTGGTAATTGGCTATTTTAGGCCACACTGCAGTTTGAAATGTTGCCAAATCAATTCTCTTGTATGATTTAATGAATTTTACATGTGACAGCCTACAGTGACCATAGTACGCAGCTATTCGTAATTGCTGTGCAGTAGAGGACAAGCTTCCTGTACCAGGCCACTGTTCAAAGAAACAGACAGGAGCTGCCCGAGCAGGCACATCATCAGTGACCACGGCCCAGGTGGAGAGGGTGCTGCTGGGTCACGGTTCCTTGAATTAAGAATTCAGCTCTCAGGTTGGGATGTTAGGGACACCTGAAGGTTTTCAGGAAAGGTCCTGTCCTAAGGCCACAGACATGGGTGCGCATCCCTGTTCTTCCTGAGCACCATGTCCACCCCCAGCTGGGAAGCAATGGTCTCATCGCACCCCACCATGCAGTAAGCCCATCACCCTCTTTTTCATGGTGTCAGCTTTATTTTGAAAAAGTACACTTGTGCTCCTGACTTTGGGCCAGTAACAAGAAAACCATTTAAGCCAATGTAGTTCACTGTGCTACCTTCTGAGGCTGACGGGGTATTGCTGAGTTCACAGGCGGAGGCCAGAAGAGGAGACTAAGGGACTCAGGTTGGCTACAGTGGGCAGAGCAGATCACAGGACAGAGCACATGGGAAAGGGCCTGGGCGGCAGGCTCTTCAGCATCCACTGTTTCATTACCAATTATAACAAGGTTATTTAAAAGATTAAAGAGGCACAAAGCGAAAAATTTAAATTTTGAAGGTTTTAGAATTAACTGAATAGACAAACCTATTTATTTAAAATGACTATGGTTAGGTTTAAAATATAGCAATGAAAAGTAAAAATTCAAATACACAACAAAGGTATCTTCAGGTTTTGTAAAAAAAAAAAAAGATATAACATTTTTTTGATACAGAGAAGGAATACACTTTCACCCATACACATTAATCAGTATGAATTAGAATTGCACCATATTATATAATGAGTAACTTTTCTGCCAGTAAAGACTTAAGATTATTTGCCACAACGTATGTTTTGTGAAAAAATTAGACTATTTGAAGAAAATAAAAGCAGTTGAATCACAGGTACCCACTGTGAGAAAGTGAGAGTTCCCCATCCTTATCCCACAGCCAGCAATGGGAATGGTGACAACGGTGACATGAACACAAGCACCTGTATTAACTGCTGTGAAAAGGTAACACCAGCCTGTCTCTAAACACACGGAGAGCAGCCATTACTCTGGACCACTTAACCACAGGACACCCTAGGAATTCTGGTATATTCTCAGCACAAGTTTGAAAAGGAGGATGGAGGTGGTACAAATAGACTTCAAAAAAAAAAGATAAAACATGTAAGAAGTATGTAAAATATTTATGTATTTAGTACAAAATAATGAAAAGTGACTGCATGACACATTTTCCAAGAAGTTATTTTTATGTATTTTCAAAGCTTGTAAAAACCAGATATATTGAAAGGGGTCATTTATACATTAAAACTACTAAGCCAGGTTTGGTGGCTCATACCTGTAGTCCTAGCAGTGCAGGAGGCTGAAGCACGAAAATCCCAAGTTTGAGCCCAGCCTGAGCAACTTAGCAAGGCTCTGTCTCAAAAAGAGCTGAGGATGAACCTCAGCTTGAAGGCTAGGGATCTAATCTCCAGTAACACAAAACAAACAATGATGTTGAATGATAATCAGGATGTTTGAGGGAATTTTTTGTTTTTGAAATAGGATCTCACTATGTGGTCCGGACTGGCCTTGAGCTCTTTTTTTTTTTTTTCTGGTACTGGGGATCAAACTCCCGTCCTTCCCCTTGCCAGGCAGGTGGCAGAACCACTGAGCTAAATCCCCGGCCTGGCCTTGAGCTCTTGATCCTTGTGCCTCAGCCTCCCAAGTGCTGGGATTACAGATGTGTACTACCATGCCTGGGTTGGTAATCAGTTTTTTTTGGTAATCAGTTTCAATAGAGGTTAATTACCTTTGTTTGGAAGGCTACTATCCCAAATCACAAAATTTATGCTCTGATATGTCATTACATATCAGATCACTTTTTAAATTATTTTTTATGTGGTACTGACAGAGCTCTTGAGAAAGTGCTACACAAACCAAAGGCAATAGAAATTTTTAAGCAATAACCTTAAAATACAGTACCATACAAAAATGTGTAAACAAAAAGATGCTTTAGAGTTGCTGGGCATTATAAAATCCATAAACTGGATTAGGAATGAAGGTAATAGTTTATGTATTTTAAAAAATAGCATAATTTCTTTTTCAGACTGGCTTTAGGCTGGCCTTGGACTATGTAGCCCAGGCTTACCTGGAGCTCGATTCTTCTGCCTCAGCCTCCCAAGTGCTGGATTCACAGGCATGTGCCACCACATCTGGCTGTTAGCACAATCTTAAAAGGGGTCTTCGGTCAGCAGTGAAAGGTGTTGGCTGCACAAGCGTGTCACAGGACGTCCTGAGCAACTGCAGCCCTGCTGCACACCTTCAGGGCCATGGTGGCCAGATGTGCGACAGTGGCCACAAGGAAAGGGTTTTATAGGAAGTCTCACAGGGAGAACCTCTGGCTTAAAACATATATACCCCACTTTTGTGATCCTGCCAGTGAGGAAAACAATATAAATTCTAATAGTAAAGCACTGTAAAAATTAGATTAATATTTTTGGCACGAAGCACTTTTTAGCTCAAGCTCATTTTGCAAAATATAGGCCTGGAATTTCTTATCTGAAAATAAAAGCTTACACATACACAGTGTGTACATGACTTTATACATGATTAGCATCTACATTTCCCTATACACTGCACAGACCCTCTATGTGCTCCGGCACATGTGTCTGCACACGTTCATCCACACTGCATTCACAGACACTGTACAAGTGACACCTCCAAAACACACTGGTGGAGTCCAGCAAGATTCAATTTACTCTGCGTGACTATTTTGCTGTTAGTGTTCAGACTCAGTACTATTTTCTGTAAAAGCTAGATGGCCAATTTCAGAACAAAATACTTGTTATCTTTCCTTGATGCACATTAATCTGGACCAATATTAATCTGGACCAACATATTTGACATTTCATTCATGATTTCATCATTTATAATTCAGCAAAACCTGTTTTGATATTTCTCTTAGCATTCCTTCAAGTACAGGACAAGCTTCGTCTAATGTAATAAAAATAAAAAATGAGTTCACAGGGCAGTAATATTTCCACCAGAGGTCTCACTCCGCACTCTGGAAAGCACGTTAACATCTGTTGCACTCAGGGAGCCAGGAGGTGTAAAGTCTGCTAAAACACTTGAATGTACCAGGACGGCTGGGCGTGTTTCTCTGTGAATGGCGCAATGTAATCCAACTTTTTCCCTCCCTAGACATTCAGGGTATGCTACAGCTGCTAAACGGATTCCTATTTTTCTTGGTTCTCTCTTTGTTAGGTCTAAGATTGATGACGTCTCCACCGTTAAGTGTACTTGAACTCTGACTCAAGTGACTGCTGCCAGATGTATTGAAGACACCTGTATAGTTTGAGGGAAAACAGAGACCGACTTTGAGACAACTCAGAGTTACCTGAAGCATTCAGATTGTTAGGAAAAACAAAGTATTTTCAAGTATTTACAATTGTTTTCATTTTATTGTAGTAAAATACAAACAAAAAAATTTACTCTCTTGACCTTTTTTTGGCGGTGGTGGGGCAATACTAGGGTACCCAAAGCTTTGGTACTCAGTTACATCCCCAGCTCATTTTATTTTTCATTTTCAGATAGGGTCTCACTAAGTTGCTAGGTTGCCCAGACTACACATGAACTTGTGATCCTCCTGCCTCAGCCTCCCAGAGTACTGGGGTTTCAGGGCCTATACCACCAGGCCTGGCTATCTTAAACATTTTAAAGTGTAAATTAGTGGTATTAAATACTCATTATGTTGCAAAACCAAGCCAGCATGCATCTCCATCAACTCTGCATCTGTAAAACTGAAACTCTACTGTTAAGCAGTAATTCTCCATTCCCCTCCCACCGCCTCTGCCCGTATGACTCTGACCACTTCATGGAAGTGGACTCATACTGTCTTTTAGTGTCAGGCTCCTTTCATTAGCACAGTATTTTCAAGAGTCATCCAGGTTGCAGTATACTGCAGGATTTCCTTCTTTTTTTTTTTATTCATTAAGTTTATTGGTACATTTTAGGTATATAGTATGATGATACTCATCATTAGGAATTTGTACCTTTACATGATACATCTTGGTTCTTATTTTTTTCCCATTCCCCTGCCCTTTCACCCCCTTCTCCCCTTCCTCTTTACCAAGACTTTGTTTCCTTTTTTTCCTTTTCTCGTATTTATTCCTTTCCCTTCTTTCCTTTCCCCAACCCCTCCCACTTCCCCTTCCCCCTTTTTTCCCTATTTCACACTGTTATACACTTTGATTCTTATTTACACTTTGTTTCTCACACCAGAGAAACTAATTGGTATCTACATGTGTCCAATTTATTTCACTTAAGAGTATGACCTTAATGTGCATCCAGTTAGCTATAAATGTCTCTAATTTCTCATTCTTTATGGCTGAGTAGTACTCCATTTTATATAAAAAAATTTTCTTTATCCAGTCTTCAGTTGGGGCTCTCCAAGTTTTAGCTATTACAAACTGCCACTTTGAACATGGGTGTACATATATTCCTGTGGTATGATTCTTTTAATTCTTTTGAGAAGATACCCAGAGGTGAATAGCTGGGTCAAATGGGACCTCTAATCCTAATTTTTTGAGGTTATCTCCATACTGACCTCCACAGTGGTTGCACCAGTCTACACTCCCACCAACAATGGAGAAGGGTTCCTTTCTCCCCACACCCCCACCAGCATTTGTTATTAGTTGATTTCTTGTTTCAGTTTTTTTTTCTCAGTACCAGGGATAGAACTCAGGACCTTGTGCTTGTGAGGCAGCCAGTGCCACTGAGATATATTCCCGGCCCTATTATTGGTTGATTTGATAGCAGCCATTCTTTTTGTAGTGAGATGGAATCTTAGTGTTGTTTTCATCTGCATCTCTCAAATGACCAGTAATGTTGAACATTCTTTCGTGTTTATTTGCTATTTCTACTACTTTGTCTGAGACATGTCTGTTCATTTCAGATGCCCATTTTTGAATTGGGTCTTTAAATCTGGGAGGTCTGATTTTTTAAAAGTTCTTTACATATTCTAGATAGCAGACCTCTGAGGAACAGTTGGTAAAAATTTTTTCCCACATTGTAGGATGTCGCTTGGCTCTGATGGTGGTTTCTCTTGCAGTGCAGAAACTTTTTAATAAAATGAGATCCCAGTTGTTTTTCTTTGTGCTAGTTCCCGTGCTGAGGTTTTGTTCATAAAGTCTTTTCCTATGCCAGTGTCTTCAAGAGTTCTACCTAACCTATATCTTCCAGCAAGTTTAGTGTTTCTGTTTTAATATTTAGATTGCTGACCCACTTCAATTTTAGTTTAGTGAATAGAGGGAGATATAAGTCTAGTTTTAATCTTTGACAAGTTCAAACCCAATTTTTCCAGCACCATTTTTCCCCCATTTTATTTATATTTTTTTCTGTTATAATTTTCAACTTTTTTTTTCATTAAGTTTATTGGTACATTTTAGGTATATAATACGGTGACATCCATCATTAGGAATTTGTACCTTTACATAATACATCTTGGTTCTTATTTTTTCCCCATTCCCCTGCCCTCCTTTTAACCCCTCCACCCCCTCCCTATTTACAAAGACTTTGTTTCCATTTTTCCTTTCCCTTCCCATATTCCTCCCACATCCTCTTCCCCTTTAGACCTTTTTTTTGTTTCACATTATACATTTTCATTCTTATTTACATTTCCACTTTCTCACAGAGAAACTATTCAGTATTTACACGTGTCCTATTTATTTCACTTAAGAGTATGGCCTCAAAGTGCATCCACTTAGCTATAAATGACTCTAGTTTCCCATTCTTTATGGCTGAGTAGCACTCCATTTTATTAAAAAAACCCCACATTTTCTTTATCCTTAAGTCTCCAGTTGATGGGCAATTGGGCTGTTTCCAAGTTTTAGCTATTACAAACTGTGCCGCTATAAACATGGGTCCAGCACCATATATTAAAGAGGCTCTTTCCTCCTGTGAGAGTGTTTGCCTCCTTGGTCGAAGATGAGGTAGCTGAGTATGTCTGGAGTTGTTGCTATATCTTCTAATCAGTTCCACTGACCCTTGGATCTGTTTCTTTGCCAGTACCATGCTGTTTTTATCACAGTGGCTTTGTAGTATAGTTTCAAGTTGAGGACTGTGATATTCTGTCATGTCTTTGTTGCCTAGAATTGCTTTTGCTATCCTAGGTGTCTTCTGGTTCCAAAATGAATTTTTGGATTGTTTTCTCTAGTTCTGTGAAATATACTGTTGGGATTTCAATTGGGATTCCACTGAATCTATATAGCAGTTTTGGAAGTATGGCCATTTTCACTATATTGGTTCTTCCTACCCAGGAACAAGGGATGTCTTTCCATTTTCTTATATCCTCTTCAATCTCTTTTATTAGAGTGCTGTAGTTTTCAAGGTGGAGGTCTTTTTACTTCTTTCATTAGATTGATTCCTAAATACTTCATTTTTGGGATGCTACTGTGACAGAAAGTGTTTCCCCAATTTCTCTCTCAGTGAGTCTGTAATTTGTGTACAAGAAGGCTATTGATTTTTGAGTGTTGACCTTGTATCCCTAATTTGTCAATTAAGTCTAGAAGTCTTTTGGTGGAGTTTTTGGAGTCTTCTATGCAGAGTATCATGTCATCAGCAAATAATAACTGTTTAACTTCTTCCTTTCCTATCTTTATTCCTTTTATTTCTTTCTCTTGTCTAATTGCTACAGCTAATGTTTCCAGAACTATATTGAACAGGTATTTTAAAACTCTTTTCTATCCAGGTATGGTGACATACACCTGTAATCCCAGAATTCGGGAGGCTGAGGCAGGACAATCACCATGAGTTCACTGCCAGTCTGAGGTATACAGTAAGTTCAAGGTCAGCCTGAACTACAAAGTGAGACCCTGTCTCAAAAAGACAAAACAGAACAAAACACTTTTCTATAAATATAGACCTTTATAAATAGTTTATCTCTGTTGTATTTACTGTATTAAATTGACTCATACAATAATAAAAAAAAATGCTTTTAACACAATATACCTTTTAACAAGAGATCTGATACTTGTAAGTTCAATAATCAATAATCGAACACTTTTTAATAAGATTTCTTAAAGAAATGTCTACATTACACATAAAAAATTAAATATAATAATGAACAGCTAGGCATGGTGGCCCACACCTGTAATCCCAGCACTTGGGAGGCTGAGACAGGAGGATCACCGTGAGTTCGAGGCCAGCCTGGGCTATATAGTGAGTTTGAGGTCAGGCTGAACTGCATAGCGAGACCCTGTCTCAAAAAGAAAAAAAAAATAATGCACAGAGGATACATATCTGGTAAACATGAGCTAAAATTTCCTGGGTACTTACCAATTTTGTTACTACTTGAATGTCTCAGTTGTGGATCCTCAGCTGTTTGTTGTTTGAGTTTTTGAAGATATTTTTCGGCCAAATATTTAAAAACTAGAATAACACACACACTAGGTCAATATGATTTATGCAAATATTACTTATAATATTTATATTTACTAAACAAATTTAAAAATAAATTAGAACTAGAAACAACGTAGATAAAAATTCAACTTTTAAAAATTATCTGAGCAGGGCCAGGAATTTAGCTCAGTGGTTCCGGCTGCCTCGCAAGCACAAGGTCCCGAGTTCAATCCCCAGTACCAAAAAAAAAAAAATTATCTGAGCAGTATCTAAGTACAACGATAATGGCAATAATTGCATAGTGGTATTTTATGAGTAAAGAAATAAAACTTCTAGTCATTAGCTCTTCTTTTTTAAATATTTCAATTATATTTATTTACTTATTTATTTTCAATGTTTTGAGACAGAGTCTCACTATGTAGTTCAGACTAGTCTTGAACTCACTATGTAGCCCAGGCTGGCCTTGAACTTGCACCAATCCTCCTGCCTCAGCCTCCTGATTGCTGGGTTTATAGCAGTGTGCCATACCCAGCTTATAATTAGTGTTTAGCAACAAACTGACTCAGTCTTAAAAAGATGTCTACTTTCTTTAGGGAGAGAACAGTCTCCAGAATAAACACCCATGTGACAGTCTGGTTGCAAAAGTTATGAATCAAAACACATGCATGTATACACATTCACACTTTAGATCTTTAAAGAAAATAAACCTAAAACCCCACCAGAGTTGCCTGCAGAAAGTAACAAGTGTTCACTATTAAGTAAGGACTGCAAATTTAAATAATGGCTTTAAATTTTCCTTAATGTCAGGGGATCATAAAACCCCACAGAAACAACAGAAAAGGCTTTAGAAGAATAAAACAAATTCCCTGTTTCAACATTTTAAAAGATGCAATTTACCTTCACTCACATTGAGGTCTTCTTTTACCGATGTCCTGTAGAATCTTAACTTTAACCTCTTTGCCAGTGCCTCAGCTTCCTCACTGCACATCAATTAAAAAAACGCATGAAGGTGTCTTCTGACAGCTTTCTACCAAGTCACTGTCAGTTATGCTTACTGAGCAAGGCTGTCATGTGTGGGGTGGAAGGCACTGAGGTCCCTCAGAGCTTGTCACCCTTCTTTCTAGGGCAGCTTTCTGCGATGCCCAGTCAGGTGGAGCCAGGGGAAGCTAAGCTCTCCCTGAGAGCCTGAACAGGATCTGTCCTAGTTAGGGATAAACATCACCCATGATACTGTAATTACAGATAGATCACTTTCCTAGGAAGTCTCCAATCTCTGGCCATAAAACAAGTAAATGCCATTCTTTAACATTTTAATTAATTTTCTCTTTTTAAAAGAGTATTTGGATATAATCACAATCTGAAAAATCTGACACTGAATTACATCTTATTCTTACTGGCTACAGAAGAATTTTGCTGCCAAAAGCAAAGCCAGCATATTAATGTTTTAGTCTACAAGAAAGGGGTCCTAGTTTACTTTTATTAGGACTTCTGATTTTAGTTTTACTGGGATCAGAGAAGCCATACTACAAAATGGTCCCCTGACCTCTCACCTCCTGGTCTTCATACCTTCCCATCTCTCATAGGGATCAGTCTGTGTGCCCAACAGAACACAGAAGTAACAAAGTGTGATTCTGACCCTGGACTACGAGGGACACTGGTCTCTGCCATGGCTCACCTGCTGGGGGAACAGCTGTCGTGTTGTGGGGACACTCAGCCCCAAGGAGAGGCCTGCTGATCACAAGTGCGAGAGCCAGCTTTGAACCGGCCCCTCCTGCACCACCAGACCTCTGTGTGACCAGCCAACATCCTACCCTCAGCCACATGCAAAATCACCCAGCTAAGCCACGTCCAGAGTCCCACAGAAACCATGACTGAAAAAAAATGTTAGTTTAAGCCTTTAAGTTGTCAGCTACTTGTTCTACACCAACAGATAACAGAAAAAAAATTTTTTTTGTTTTGGAGACAGGGTCTCAGTGTGCAGTATGTAATCCAGTCTGGTCTCGAACTTGCAGTGATTCTCCTGCCTCAGCCTCCCAAGTGCTCGAATTACAGGCGTGTGCCACCATGCCCAGCTAAGAATGCATTTTTAGAAAGGTAAAATCTAAGCAAAATTTTCAAAGCTAGCAAAAATAATGCAACAAGTAAATACTGACAGAAATTATCTGGATGCTCAGCTCTGTTCACAGATATGAGAATCACGTTCTGAATATACAAAACAATAGGAATCCAAACTCTTCTACTTAAATTCAGTGACACAGGACAGCTAGCTCAGCCCAGTTACTCCGACATCTAAGGATGCTTTTTGTAACATCTATGTCACGAGCCAAGCAGCTTTATCTAGGTTTGCCTCAACAAGAAACATTGACTTTGTGGTACAAAGATTGAAGACTTGAATTCTAAACACCTTTACAAGTTTATTCCTTTAATTTTTTCTATGTAAAAATCAGAGATTTAAATTTTTTTACTTTTCAAATTAAGTATATGTACTCAGGGATTTTTTGTAGTGCTGGTGATTGAACCCAGGGCCGTGTTCAATGCTAAGCAAGTGCTGAATTTATTTATTTATTTTCGGTACCAGGGATTGAACTCAGGACCTTGCACTTGCGAGGCAGGTGGCAGCACCACTTAGCTACATCCCGGCCCAGCAAGTGCTAAATTTAACTGGCACATAAAACTATAAAAATTGTACACATTAATGGGGTAAGGTGATGTTTCAATACATTTATACACTGTATAATTAAATCAGGTTAAACATACCTATTTTCTGAACCATTTCTTTCTGGTAGAAACTTTCAATATACTTTCTTCTAGGTTTCTGAAATGCACAGTTCATTATTATTATCTACAGTGACCCCACTGTGCTTTTTTTTTTAAACCTAAACCAGTCACAAAAAAGAGCTCACAGAAAATCTAAGGCAATTTACGCCTTTAAGTAAGTAAAATATTTACAATTTAAGTAAATATAAAAGCTTCCCTTTTATAAATCTAAGCAAAAACTAAAAAGTTTTAACATTGCAGAATGAGCATATTTCCTACCCCAGAAGTAGCCATCTTACTTCTTTATACAAGAGTCGTCCAAGAGATCAATCTTGTTTTGTACCAGCACAGTTGGTATCTCTCCGACTTCAGCTACTACCTTTTCTCTCCAGCTGGAAATTGCTTCAAAAGACTCCCTGTCTGTGGTAGAAAACACAAGCACACAAGCCTGGGCTCCTGTAAGGTCACAAAATAAAAATGCTGTTTACGTTAAGGAAACAATCTGTGTTCTGCACTATGAATGTGCGTGGGGAGGAGGGCTAACTTCTCTGCCTATTCGAAACAATTTTTATGCAAACCAGTATTGAGCTTGTCTTTGTAACACTACTTATTCTCACCATATAAACCCTTTTCTAATTCAAAGAACCAATTTTTGTAAGTACAATGATTTTCAAACACATTCAAGTGTCAAAGTACCCTCAAAACTGTACATTCTTTTTAGAACATCACAAAATACTTACTTATTGCAATCATAAGAAGAAATGGTAAACTAAGCAAAAAAAATAGGCTGTTGCAAGTTAAGATTTGTCATTTGCTCAATGCTTACAGCACATTTAAGAACATTCTATGAGGGGCTGGAGATTTAGCTCAGTGGTTCTGCCATCTGCCTTGCAAGCGCAAGGTCCCAAGTTCGATCCCCGGTACCAAAAAAAAAAAAGAGAGAAAATTCTATGAGAAAACAAACACAATTTGTTCACTCTATTTCCTTTTCAGAATTTTGTATTATTTTATTTTAATAATGGAATAACAATAATCCTAAGAAACATAATTTGAGAATCAGTGCCAAGAGTAAAAAACATACATGTGTATTTATTCATGTGATGGAGGAACCTTAATTTCCCTTTCACCTGTTTAACTGTGTAATTCTGTACCATATCTACTGACAATATTTTAATTATCCACTGTCATTTTAGGCTGATCACATCTAAGATTAAAAATAAGCAGCAACCTCTGAGCACAGTGATGGCAAACCTCTTAGAGCTTTCAATGTTCTCCACTACCATTTTACAAATGATTAGCTGTTGATTCAGGCAGCATGATGTCAAAAACAGGTGTGTAAATTACAAAAGAAAACCATCTCCAGGTTCAAGAGGACTCTTGGATTCAGGCATGTTTTCTTACTTTTCCTCCTTCCTTCTGGTCCCTCTGTACCACAAGCCTTCCACTAAGACTAAAACGCCTAGGCTACCTAAGATACTCGAAGGTCAAAGTTTGTTTATCATTAGAATACTGCAGAAAGCAAGAGCATAAGATGAAAGGAAATCAGCAATGTGTTCTATATTAGCATAAGGTTTATCTGAGAAAATCTTTGCTACTGTAAGAACAGATTGTGAAGTACATAATAAGTTAATTACATAAAATTCAGAGAAAGAGACCTACTCCGAGACCATCTCAGAATTTAAGGAAAAATCAAATTGAAGCAATCTCACTAGTACTCTGATAAATATTTACTTGAATTTTTATATTTACTAAAACTATAAATAATATTCAATTGTGCTTTATTACAAAACTCTTATTTGTTAGATTGGTATCTATAAGCCCCCACTTTTATATCCAGTCATTTGTCATTTAAATTTGAGAACACAATAGGGTTTTTCCAGGTGTACAATATCTGAGTCTTAAAAAGAAGTTTCTTACGAAACATATAATAATTTTTTTTAAATCTAAGCAAATGGTGCCAAATATGAGCAATAAGAATGATGAAAAGGGGCTGGGGATTTAGCTCAGTGGCACCAAGCCTGCCTCACAAGAGCAAGGTCCTGACTTCACTCCCCAGTACCAAAAAAAAAAAGGGATGAAAAGAAGCTCAATGTTATTTAAAAAGTCAAGGACCTAGAAAACAAAAAATAAAAATAAAAAACAAAAAGGAAAATAGAAAAAATGACAAGAAAAAGAAAAAAATCCCCCCAAAATTTAAAAGGCAAGAAACGACAAAAGAACAAAAAGTCAAGGCTCAAAGGAGAAAAGAACAAGTATATCCATTACAACCCCCAAATTATTTAGTAGGGAACAGAATGGGCAGAGATGGAAGGAGTGAGAAGGTGCCAAAGTGCTTGTGTAAAGAGGAGGAAGATGGAAAACTGAACCATGTGCGCAATCACCAAGGGGAGTATAAACAGAGATGGTGCGACAGCCACCTGTGGCCCTAGCTAAAGCCCCTCAGCCCTCCAGTGCCCTGGCTGTGAGGACAGTTCTTTGCCTATTGCCAGTGTCCACCTCAAGCAGAAGTAGCAGGTTGCTCCCCACTTCTCCCAGGGCTTTTTCTGATGTTTTATAAGGGCTGAGGCTTCTGAGGCATCTCCAAGGGGAGCTGGTGTCTCAAGGGGAAAGCTCTTAACTACAGGGAGGCATAAATACAGTGCCTGAAACTGAGCCAGTTCAGGAGGACTGAGCCCTAGTTACCTACAGTGATAATTTGCATCCTTCTCCCTAACTTCCTAGGATCAAAGCCCAAATAAACCAGGGCACCCTACTGGGGTGGAGGGAAAGGTAGGCCTCAAACTAAGACAGGTTAGTATATGACTAAACTATTACACTAAAGGAGAATATTAAATTTATCCAGTGTAAAAGAGGGAAGTAGATACAAAAACAAAACATAACAAAAACTACAAAAACAACAACAAAAAATCAGAACTACAGAAAATACAAAACCTAAAATAAGATGGTAAAACTAAGTTGTAAAGAATGCAATCATAATCTCTAGAAAGAGAATGAGATGGTTTACCTGATGCTAAGCCTTTGGATCAGATGGTGCAACCACCCTGGCTAACTCAACCTAAAAACATCACTAACATGCAAAAATAAAAGTCAACCCACAATCTGGATTATTTTTATAATTATAATAATTCAAACAAAAGTTGGCCAACTTGTTTCACTTTCCCCAACTATTATCCATACAGAAAACAAAACGCTATCAAACTGTGATGGATCAGGTTCTTTTGTGTTTAGTGACCAAAAGACCTTTTCTAATATGTATGAAAAATTATTGAAAGATAACACCTTTTAAACAAAAATTTGAATGAGGTAATAAAACAAGACAAATACCAGATTCCTCTCTCTCTCTCTCTCTCTCTAGAGAGAGAGAGAGAGAGAGAGAGAGAGACAGGCTATTACTTGCAGAATTTATACAGGAAATGACTATAAAGCTCTTATGCAACTCTGGGCTGGGGTGAAGTTTTGCTTTGTCTCGTTAACTGAAAGAAGAAAGGATTTCTTAAAGAACATTGCAGTATACTCCAAACCCTCTCTGAGGATGATGAGGGCACTATTGACACTTCCTTCATCTCTAGACAGTGGACTTCAATCAGGGAACTTTATAGTTGAGAAGGATGATGAGGGCACTCTTGGCACCTCCTTCATCTCTAAACTAGACAGTGGACTTCAATTAGGGAACTTTGTATGTGTTCCAGGAAAATGGGAGACACTAGATGGGTGTGCTTTAACTCAAGCCTGAGAAAGATACAGTGGCTGGGAGCAAAAGTAGAACAGCAAGACCAGCAGACAAAAGGAAGACAGGCTGCACTGAGGAAGGAACTATGCTCCCACCAACGGCAGGGCAAAGAACGCACTTGGATTTCAGAAGTGGGGCAGAAGTGGACCAGGTCTAAGAAGTAGCTAATGATGGAGTCTAAGACAAGCTACCCCAAATGGGACTTGTCGTTAGACAGAAATAAAGACTGAGAGGAGAAGGGAAATTTAGTGATAAGACTATACCTTACACCATTATGACTCTGGTGTAAATCTTAGAAATGAATTATTCATGACACAAAAAATTAACAAATGATAAAATTTAAATTTTATTATAATTCAAAAGACCTATTACCAGGCATGGTGGCATATGCCTGCCTGTAATCCCAGCACTTGGGAGGCTGAGACAAGAGGATCACCATGAGTTTGAGGCCAGCCTCGGGTAGGTACAGTGAGTTCACAGCAAGACCCTGTTGTCCACCCCACCCCACCCCCAACCTATTATATCAAAATTACTGCTTAGAAGCGTTATTATGGACTTGGGTTGCTGGCTTAATTGCATAGTGAGACATGTTGAAACATGACTTTACAAGAGAGCACAGGTCATATGAGGAAGCCTTTTGGAATTTCCACGGACTCTTTTAAAAGTCTTGAGAAAGTCTGCTCTAAGCATTAGAAACCAGTGCTTAGTACAGAAAGATGCACACAACATAAAATAATTGAAACTATAGTGTTTTTTACTGTGACTTTACTTTATAGATGAGGAAAAAATATCTTTTTTTATACCTTTGGTCTTGCTAACAAAAGACACATTAACAAGAGAGCATCCAATTAAGCATTTAATGAAAGTTTTTTGTAACACAGGAGCCTTCATAAGGAAATGAAGATTCAAAGAAACTAGCAAACTTGAGCATTCTTATACTAGGTTTGGGAGACTGGAAAGTCATGCAAAAATGTGGCAGAAAAAAGAGCTAAGAGCAGTAAACTGGTGGAAACTTAGCAAGACTTGTTTGTTTAGATTCTTCTTGGAGTTCCTCCCTCTTCTGGAGATAAGGATGTCCCCTTCTTCCAGACTTTTTTATTAAACAAATCAATATACTTCTCACCTTAGGGTCTTGACCAGCTTCAGGGGAGAGTCAGAGAGACCTGTTCCTCAGATGCCTTCAGGTTAAATATTCACTATGCCAAAGTACCTTATTTTCAGGGCTAGCATATCCTGAACTTCATTAAGTCCCAAGGAAAAATGCTTCTGACTAGCAGTATGTACAAATGAGGTTGTAGACTTGAAACCTGTTGTCTGAGTTTATGCACATAAACAAGATGTTTCCTTGTTTTAAAAGTACCTTTTTTCACAAACAAATGAATTATAAAATGTTGGACATAAAATAGCTGTGATTAAGTGCCGAGGTAGAAATGTAGAGTGAAGAAGCAACTGAATTAAGACTATGCAGAAGTCTCATTTATTTGTTTTGAAATTATAGGCTTAGAATCTATGATAGGTTGGCCCACTGAATAATACTGTGTGCTTTAAATGGCACACAATGTGAAAAGGAATAAGGGGCATGCATTTTAAACCGCGGGTAGTATCTATAATTAGGAACATACAGTGCCAAAAGTCTTATGCTTCCAACTGTCCTTTGTCCTTGTCCCATTTTTTGTTAGCACAATTTTTTTTTTAGGCCTTAGTTATTATTTATTATAATCCTATATTTTCAAAAGAAAAATAACATGTTCAAAAGCTGCTCAACTTCATCTGATTTTTCAAGTATATCTATTTTAAATAATAGGTATAAATCTACAAATACAAGCTACATCAATAAAATCAGTGGTAAATCCTATCTAGAAGCAGAAGTTTACACAGTCATGAAAAAACCCACTATCAACCAGAAATTTTATTTATATAGACATTAAGTGAAGTACACCATTATACTGTTTTAACATTCCTATTCTATTTCAAGTGTTGCTTCTAAGATAATCGAGGACACATATATACTTCCTTTCAAGTTGTATAAAGTAACACATCAAAGAAGGCAAGGCTTATTATTTTAGTTTCATCAAAGCTAAGGCAGGACAGTTTAAGAGACTTTGAACAAATCATTACTGATTCCACAGTCTTTAGGACTATTTAGTATTCAACTATCATAATTCTACTTACGAAGACAGAATAACCCAAATAGCAGGGTTGGCAGACTATGGGATTCTAGCACTCTGGGAAGCTGAGGCAAGATGATTTCAAGTTCCAGCTGAGCCTAGGCAATGTAGAAAGACCCTTTCTCAAAATAAAAAAAGGGTTGGGAATGTAGCTCAGTGCAAAAGCCCTTGGTTCAATTCCTAGTACTAGAAGAAAAATTAACCCAAATGATTCAGCCTCCTAAAATTGACTGACTTCATCTGAGCCTACAGATGCTAGGGATTGGGGCTGGGGAGACAAAGACCAAAAAACAAACCAAAAAAGTGCTATAACTCCATAAGCCAGAATCTCAAGTAACACAAGAAATGTAATGACAAATACACAAACACTACATTGACTTTCAGAAGTAGCTCAACAGAGATTAAGTTTTTCAGAGATGGGAGCCACAGGAGGTTTCACAGATTTCTAAACTGTCGGGCTTAGTACAAGAAGCAAAAAATAATCTGGAGACTTCTCAAGAATGAAGTGCAAGTGCTATCAGCAGGAAATGAGACTAGGAACACAAAGAGAAACATGACTGCAAAGTGTGTGATGCTAAAACATCTGAATTTCTCAAACAGGAGAAAGTTTCTTAAAATTGTAACTAAGGAACTGAACTGACAGTGCAAAGGATAAAATAATGTTTTTTACTGCATTTAATTTTTCAAAGAAAAATGAAGCAAGGAAGTCAGCTTAGAGTAGAGAACAACAAGGGATTCTAAAGGTTAAGGCAAGAGAGGGCATGAAATAGCTCTTCTGGAAAAAGGCAGAGACCTGAATAAAGATGCTTGTGAAGAATGTCTGGCAGCTCTGAGTTCGCATTGAAGTGATGTGATCACAGCTTCCAAGCTGAATCAGAGTGGTTCTGTCTGATACTCTCTAATGAGGTACAGGCGCTTAGAGGCAGACTGGAGATAGTGGGGTCTAACTGGGTTGGACATTTTACAGAGCAAGTACTAGGCAGGGAACACGGGAGAGAGTTACAGAAGTTTGCAAGCAAACATTTACTGGACTAGAAAGCTGAGGATCAAAAGAAGTAAAGGTATGTGGAGTCACAATAAAAAGAGCAGTTGGTAGTGTCAGCAGACCCAAGTTCTCAATGTGTTCAAGGACAGCTACATGAAGATGGCTAATAGCAAGCTAGGATCAGTGATCAGAAAGTGGGAACCTTGATAGAGGGTAAGATTTTGAGAGATAGTAAAAAGATTACTGGCCTTAAGAAGGACAAGGAAATGGGTAAAGGGCTGAATCTTCGAACAGCAATCTTGGGTTGGGCTATAGTTCAGTGGTAGAGTGCATGCCTAGTCCTGGGTTCAATCACCAGCACCACATTAAAAGAAGAAAATAAGTCAAATGCCAATGTTATCAGATGCCACGGTAGTAAACATTTGCTGATATCAGTCATCAAATATTTACTTGGATCAACAGGATGTAATGCTGCATGATACCAAATCAAGCTTTCAATTATTTCAGTCTGTCATTTCAATCACCACTGGCAGTGAGCTAGAGAAGTATGAAAATGTTTGTTTTTGTGATACTGGGGACTGAATCGAGGGCCTTCACACTGAGCCATATCCTCAGCCCATTTTTTTGATTTTTATTTTCAGACAAGATCTCATTAAATTGCTAAAATGTCCAGGCTAGGCTCAAACTTGCAATCCTTCTGCCTCAGATTTCTAGAGATTACAGGTGTGGACCACCACATCTGGCTGAAAATTAAATTTTAGATTTCAAAAGAAAAGGAAAAAGTTTGCAGGAAAATTTTAAAGGAAATTTAGGTTTAATTGAGCCTTTCTTGAGGAAATGAAGCTCACCTTATAGAACATTAAACTCGATCACCGTGGTCCTTCCTCTCACATGTACCTTGCCCTGAACTTCTAAGCACTGAAAAGGCTGTACTGTGCGATTTCATGGGTCACAACAAAAACACCAAGATATTTGCAGGGCCTTTATTTTTCTTATCTGAGTTTCCACTCTGACCATAGAGTCATTGCCTTGGGATCCGAGTAGGCATTTAAGTTTCTGACTGATTTTAGTCTGAGATTGCCTATATAAATCATATAATTTTAAGACAGACAAAATGTCTATAGTACAAAGTATCATTTACTAATGCACTGGGGTTAAAAATACTTTTAAATTGTTTTAACCATTTTTTAAATTTTACTTTTGTTGTGGTGCTGAGGATCAAACCAAGTCTGGGCCTTATGAATGCTAGGTAAGCACGCCACCACTGAGCGACAACTGCAGCCTTACTTTAACTTTTCTTAAAGAGAAATCTTTATATGGGAAATAAAGAAAGGAGAGTTCTTTCTTTAGCCAAAGAAAACAAACCCAAATAATTAAAGAAATAAAGTCCACATTTTACCTCGGTAATAGGCCTTTGTTATAGCATCAAATTCCTCTTGACCTGCGGTATCCCATAACATTAATCTAACATCTTCATCATTAACTCTGAAAGAGATAAATTTATTTAATTTGTAAAAGTATTTTTTAATACAGCTTTGTGTATCTTATTTTTCAAATACAAATATACTAAAACTACATTGTCAGTTTCTTTCTCAAAATGTCTGAGTGATTATTTTTATATGCTGATAGTATTCTCAACTATGAAAGCAAAGCTGTAGCTTTACAGTGTTTTCCTTCAACAACAGTCACAGGCAACAGTGGCTCTAGGACTAGCTAGCAGTCCTGGGAAAAGGAAATTCCCTCAGGCCAGCGTTTACTCTCCTCTCACTGCACCATTCCAATAATGGGCGCTGGTGCCCTAGTGACAGAACCAGACTGTGGGAAGCAACAGCCTCCCTGCTTGATTGTCCTCTAAAACATTTATTCTACTTATCATACAGTTGACTCTCAATGCAGGCAGTAGTTATGTTCTACAATTTCCTCATCTTTTTTATTCTTCACATTCTGGATCAAACCTAGGGTTCTGTACATAACAAGTAAGAGCTCTACCACTGAGCTCTACCCCTGGTCTACACTGCCACTATGTACACTGAATTAGCAAATACTGACCCACACTGCTCTAAGGGAAATGCAGAGTTAGGTTCCTGGGAATCTCTGGTTGTATTTCCATCAACTGATCAATACATAACCTTGTTTTATGTGTTTCTATTTAAAGACACCTTATTATATAATTGTTAATTCATTAACATTGAAACCATGCCCAAGAGCTCCACAGAATTGTAACGTGGGTCTGAGAAAAGTTTATTGAGCACAAGTATTTTCCACAGGGCACATCACATCCTTCTTGTACTTAGGGACACGAGATAGCACTTCAGCACTATACTCAGGGGCCATCTTAAACAGCAATATCACCTGAAAAAGCACAAAAAGTGAAAAATGTGGCCCTGCAGATGATATACAGATGTTTACTGTATGACACCTGAAACAAAAAAGAAGAGTATATCCTACTTGACCTCTGCTAGAAAAGTACATTTTGGGCAATTCACATTTTTTTGCTGCTCTGTACCTGTCTATAAATGACCATAGAAGGACTATAAATACTGATACTGGAGTTATAAATCAATTTTATCAAGTAGATGAATTTGCAATTAACCTAAGATTAATGAAGATCAATGATATACTAAAGTATTAATTTGTTTTCAAGTATTAAGTACAAAAAATAAACATCAAGAATTAAGATGAGTTCTCTTAGCACCTGCCTGGCAAGTGGAAGGTCCTGAGCTCAATTCCCATACCTCCCCCGCAAAAAAGAGTTCTCTTAAAATACATTCTAAGAAAGGAAGCAAATATGGAAGCACACAAAGGGGTGGTATCAGATTAGAAATTAATATTTAAAACAATGAACACATTCATTTTTGCTTGATGTTACTATCTGAGCCATTAAGTCAGATTTGTTAAATGTTTCTTATTTCTGTAATACATTTTAGTTTGTCTCTTATAATATAAAAATCTTGAAAGAGCTCAAGAATAATGACAAAAAAATGTTACTCAGAAGTGATATAGAATCTAACTGGATTTTCTGAAATAACATTTCCTTTTCATACGCAAATTTAATTCTCCCAAATCTGTTTTCTCTTATTTCTTTAGAGTAAATGCAAATTATTAATTTTCTAACTTCTATTTACTCTTGTCCAGTGTTAAAAAGAGAAGAGACATTCTAAACAAAAGCTTACAATATAGGCGATGAAAACTTTATTTTGAGATACAGACAACTTTCCTTCTAAATAAAATAGCAGATGGAAATCTCATTACAGTCAAGTACCAGTTTACGTTTAAGACACACTAAGGCATAACACACAAAGCACATGTAAGAGAAAAAAAAGAGAATAAAAATAAATAATAAAAGGGAAAGAGATGAAGAAAAAAAAAGAATAAAGATATACATGCTAAGGAGTAACTGAAAAACATCAGGAACAGTCCATTAAGCACCACCAGTTGCCTAGCCTTGTAATTAATAATTACAAGTACTGTTATTGCAAAGAAAATCCTAGACATAGTTCACAAATCAAAACCAAAGGGGGTCGGGGATTTAGCTCAGTGGTTCCGCTGCCTGCCTTGCAAGCTCAAGGACTCAAATTCGATCGCTGGTACCAAAAAAAAAAAAAAAAACCCAAAGGAATCAAAGAGCCAAGTACATACTGAATTTGTCGCTCCAAAAAATCAACTCCAATGGTTTTCTTGTAGTCTTTTGTAAAAATGCCTTTGCAGTATCTCTGAATCATACTTGATTTTCCAACTGCTCCATTCCCTACAACCACCATTTTAATGGCCACTTCCATATCTTCCTCCAACATTTTTGAAGTAGAAATGGTTTCTTTATCAACTCAAATTCCAGGTAAGTGGATCTTCTTTCAAATCTGTAATTTAAGACGAAATTATTATTCATAACACAAAAATTGTATAAAGACAACTATTTTATAAAGAAATAGTTATACTGCATTGCAAGAATTTATTTCCAAGACTGAGGCCCTGGCTCCACCTCTTTCAGACAATATAAATTTTTTGAAAGGTGAAATGATTAATTTTTAATACTTTATCAGTAGCACAAAGCATGACATTCGTGTACAAATAATTGCCTAGATCTGCTTAGTTCTCCCTTCTACAGAGAGGAAGACTACAGGCAGTGGAGTTGAGGCTCAATTTAAAGCTGCCACTTACTAGTTCTATCCTCTGAGTAAAGTTACTGCTTAACTTCTTCGCTTCAGTATCCTGGCAATAGTATCTATTTCACAGGGCTGTTGACACATATAAAGAACTTTCTGTAGTTGAAATTGAGCTTGCAAAAATTAGTAGTTTATATAACACAGTAAGTCCCCCATAGTGTATCACCATGCAGGCAACTAATATAAAATCTGGAAAACTCCTTTTTAACCTGACAGGTAGTAATTAATGTCGCTAGAAAAATGCCCTAAAGAAAGGTTTTGCATAATAATGTGCAACTATGTGTCTGCAATGGGCTCTTGGTCACACTATTTTAGTGTTTAGATTGCAATGAATCTTGTACAAACAATCTTATTCCATAGATTCTTTAGTTTCAGACTATAATTACTCATATAATGAAAGTTAACAGAATGTGCACTCTTTGTGTCTTAGACTGAAAAGAATAGAAAGTCAATTTCTTTGTATTCTTAAAATTACTAGTTAGGCTCCTACCCATTTAGCTAATATATTCCACCTACTTTACTGAAAACCTATTTATACAACCACTACACAGAGTCTGAATTATGAAGACTCCTTCTTTGTTCTTTATAGACTCAACAATTGCCCCTAGAACTTCAAAAACTTGAATGATCATAAGATTCATCTAGGGGCACTTGCTAAAGTATGGGTTCTGGGTCTCCAGTTCAGGTAATCCAAAAGCTCAGAGAAAGGGGTTTGGAATCCCGTTTCAAAAAATAAGTACTAAAGACTAGTGTGGTGGTACACGCCTTAATCCTAGCACTTGGGAGGCTGAGACAGGAGGATTCAAAGTTCATTGCCAGCCTGAGCTACAAAGAAAAACTCTATCTCAAAAACTTAAATAAGTCAAATATATAAATAAACAAAAGCAGCACATAAGTGTGAGTTTAGATTTCTCTTCAAAAGAGATACTCTTTGGCAATCCTCAGCTGCCGCTACCTTGCCCACTCCTTCTGAAGCTACATTCTCCCCAAGAGTGAAGATTAAACCACCAGGACAACTGGGGCCAGGCCAATTCTGATCAATGTGAGATTCCTCTTTGAGCTGGGGTTCCCCATCAAATTAGAAAACTAGACAAATAACCTCTTATGAACAAAGATGCAAAACTTCCCAACAAAATATTAATAAACTTAATTCAGCATATTTAAAAAACAATAATATATCACAACCAAGTGGACTTGATTCTGAGAATGTAAGGCTGGTTCAATGCTTGAAAAGCAATCAATATAATCCACCGCATTAATAGATAAGAAGAAAAACTACATCACAGTATCAAGTGATATAGAAGAAAATACTTTACAAAATTCAATACCCATTTGTGAGGAAAAAAATCTCAGAAACCAGAAATAGAGTAAGACTTCTTCAGACTGATAAAGAGCATCTATCACCCAAAATCTAGATTTAACATCATTCTTAATTCTGAAAGACTGTTGTATTAGTTACTTTACTGTTGCTGAGACAAAATATCTAACATACACAAATTAAAGGAGGAGACATTTACTTGGCTCACAGTTTCAGAGGGTTTGGTCCACGAGGCAGGCTTAAAGGAGAAATGGCATGGTAGAAGGGCATGGCAGAGGAAAGGTGTTCCACCCATGGCAACCAGGAAACAGAAGGGAGGAGCCTGGGACAAGAATAGCCCCTTCCAAGTCATACCTCTAGGAACTCATCTCTTGCCACCAGGCCCCACCTCCAAAGAGCACATTCTGCTATGAACTTCGCAATGGACTAATCTAGTGATGATACCACATCACTAACCACAAAACATTAATGAAACTAATCAAACACCTAAATAGACACAGACTGTAAATTGGAAAATGCTACAAAATAAATCAAGCATTTCCAATTCTTCCAAGGGTTTGATGTAATTCAAATCAAAGTACCAGCAGGATTCTTTTTTTTATAGACAAGCTGACTAAATTTTACATGGAAAGGCAAGGGAACTAGAATAGGTACTACCACTTTTTTTTTTCTTTTTTTTTTTTTGGACTGGGGATCGAATTCAGGACCTTGTGCTTGCGAGGCAGGCACTGGAACCACTGAGCTAAATCCCTGGTGATACTATCATTTTGAGAAAGAAAATTGGAGGAAATCATACTGTTCAATTTTAAGACATTATAAACCTAAACTAATCGAAAACTGTATAATTGGCAAAGGGAAAGATACATAAATCAATACAACAGAGAGCTCAAAGTAGATCCACATAAATATGAAAACTGATTTTAACAAAGGTGTGAAAGCAATTCAATGGAGACAAGGACAGTCATTCAACAAACGGTGATGGAATAATTGGATGTCTACATGCAAAAAAATAAAACTTCACCTAAACTTCACACCTTATACATTTAACCCAAGATTGATCACAGGTCTAAATGTGAAACTATAACTTCTAAAAAAATTTTTTTTAGAAAGTGAAAATCGACCTGAGATAAGCAGAGTTCGCAGACATGATTCCAAAAGATTCAAAAAAGAAAAAACTAATAAGCTAGACTTCGTCAGCAATTAAAAACATTTGGTGTCTAGGTCCAGGGATTTAGCTCAGTGGTTCCGGCGCCTGCCTTGCAAGCGCAAGGTCCTGAGTTCAATCCCTGGTACCAAAAAAAAAAAAAAAAATTTGGTGTCTGAAAGATACTATCAAAACTGTGAAGACAAGCTACAGACTAGGAAGAAATATTTGCAAAATGCATATCTTACATATAATTTGTAGCCAGAACATATAAAGAGCCTTTGAAACTCAACATTAAGAAAACAAATAATTCAATTTAAAAACTGGGCAAACGACTTGGCCAGATACCTCACCAAAGAGTATGGATGGTGAACGAATACATGAAAAGAACTTCAACACCTTTGGTCATTAAAGGCACATTAAGACCACAATGAGATACTACCAAACACCTAGCAGAATAGTTAAAAGAAAAAAATTGACAATACCAAGTAGTGGGGAGGATGAAGAGTAAATGGAACTCTCACATGTTGCTGGTGGGAATGCAAAATGATACAGCCACTCTGGAAAAGTTTGACAGTTTTTTAAAAATTAAAATTATAGGGCCGGGGATTTAGCTTAGTGGTGCCACCACCTGCCTCGAAAGCGCAAGGACCTGAGTTCGATCCCCGGTACCAAAAAAATAATAAAAATTAAAATTACATTACATTTTCCATGTAACCTCCAAAGCTCAGGTGCAGGACAAAAAGATCCCACTAAAATCTGTACTGTGAAGATTTTATACTGTGCTGTATTTATAGCAGCTGTATTCATAATCCCCTAAAACTGAAAACCACCCAGATGTCCTTCAATGGGTGGAAAAATAAGTAGATGGATGTAGCACAACCTTCTAATGAAATACTATTTTACAATACAAAAGAAAGAAAAGTAAAAGCAATTATCCGCAGGTGAAACAACTTGGAGAATGCGCAATGGCATGAGGAGAAAGTAGCCAGCATCAAAAGCTTTCGTATGGTTAGAAACCCAATTGAATGACATTCCAGAAGGATCAGTAAGGGGAGTGATAAAAAGGGATAACGTGAGTTTTTTGTGGGTGACAGAACTGTTTTATATCCCGATTATAGTGGGGGTTACCTGAATCTAAAATTCACGTAACTGTGCATCCCCATAAAGGTCAACTGTACTATATAATTTTAAAATGAAATTTAAAGACAAAAGTGAAAGCAGATTTTAACAGTCTGAACTCTTGTGATTCTCAAGCACTACTCTATAAAACACTATCAAAACAATTATATTCTTAGAAAGGCATAATTCTCATATCATTTGGTTATGAAAATTTTTTTTTCATAAAGATAAAAAATTTTATATGACAAAAGCCTAAAAGGCATACAAAGGATTTTTTAAAAACGTAATTCTGGGCCCACTGATTGAGTCCTACTATTTACACCCAAACTTAATTTTAATTTTTTGCCAACCAATGCAGTCCTATGCCTTAAAAAAGGGAAGGATGAGTTAAATCGCAGAAGGTCGTCCTCCTAACACCCTGCCCTTAATTTAAAAGCGGGCACGCTTACGCGTGATTCTCAGGACCACGGAAGCTACGCGGTAGGCGTCACGTGAAGCCAGGTAAGCAGGGCCCTTCGGCCCGACAGCCCCGATTGGCTCCCGTACGGCGCTCGCACCGTCGGTACCGGGTCGTGGGCCTGGCTAGCGGCCGCGCAACAGGGGCCGCAGGACAGCGACGCGGGGCGGCGGCGCCCACTCGGGAGGACCGGTCCCAGGCCGGAGGCCGCGCCCCGGACTCCCGCCGCACCTCTGGGGCGCCCGCGCTCGGGCTGGGGAGGCAGGAGGCTGAGCCGGGAGCAGGGAACCCCGGGCCGAGCGCGAGAGAGCCCGCCGCCGCCGCCCTCACCGTTGCCGCTCAGGAACGACTGACTCTTAGAAGTACTCGCGCTTCGAGGAACCCAGGGCTCAGTTTGGCCGAGGTGCCGCCGGGGATCGCTAGGCGCGCGAAACTCCACTCCCCGCAGCCTGGCCAGGGAGCATGCGCCGTGAGTCGAGCGTCGGCCCTCGGCGCATGCTCCGTCTCGCCCCCCGCGCCCCCGTTCCGGAGCCGTCTGGAGACGCTCGCCGCCGCTGCTCCCGCGCCCAGCGCCCCGGCCCCGCGCGGTGTGGATTCCAGAGCACCCCCCGACCCCTACGCGGCAGAGGCCGGGAGGCGGATTCAGCCGAAGAAGGCCGTGTAGGTTTCCCCACACAGCTAGCGGACTCTCGCCGCCCTGGACTGTGTTCTCGCCTCATGAGCACTTCTTTTCCTGACAGGGACGCTGGGCCCGGTAGGCGCAGGCAGGTGCGGCTGAAGACGGAAGAGGGAGGAGGGCGGCCCCGACGAAAGGGCCCGCGGGGAGCAGTGAATCCTGCTGCTGTCGTCCCTAAGTGTTTCCGAAGAAAGTGGGCTAGGAAAAATGGACGGAAAATACCGTGTTGGCGAGGAGCTGGAGCTGCTGGGGTGTGACCTGGGTCGAATCTTGGAAACAGGCACTGTTCGCTGAGGAGGCCTCTGCTGAGCCACTTTGCACGTCTCCGTGTCCAACCAGAAGTGTGAACACAGGTGCACTGACAGGCAAGTGGCAGAATCCTCACAGCTGGACTTGTGATGGTCCCCACATGGGAAGAATCCAGAAGGCCTCCAGCGGTACACTACTCCAGCAGGTCAGCGTAGAAGTTAGACGTCAAAGTACATATTAAGTCCATTTTTATAGTTGTGTCAGAATTCCTCAGACAGGCTTCGAAAAAGTAAAAAGACTTTATTGAGCTGTTACAAATGCTAGCCAGAAAACAAAGGACCTGGTCCTGGGGCAGGTCTGTAGTGGGAAGTGTGCCTGCTGGACTTAATAGCCAAGGGCATTTTAAAAATGAGAATTTGGGAAATGAAACCATACATTGTTTTCATTGAATCCACATTGGCTGTAGACAAGGGCAGGTTAACACAGAAGAGAGACAAGAGGCAGCCCATTAGAAGTACTTGTTTCTATACTGACCTAAGTCATCTGGGAAAAAGTCTATAAGCAGAATGCAGTGGAGTCTAGTGGTCAGCTGCTGTGTCTGGAAGTGAGACGCACAAAATTACTTTAGGAAAAATATTCTCACAGTTAATTTTTAAGTCATCAAATGATTATTTAATTCTAGTACCTTCAACTGATCAAGCAAAAAATGTATACTGCCCCTTACTAATTTTTTCACTGTCTCACTCTAATGAGGATCATGAATTATAAGTAAGTGAAAATGACATTGTAAAAGGAAAGTTACAAAGTACACTTTTTTGGGGGACAATTTCACTAGATCACTAAATTTCCCAGCCTGAGCTTGAACTTTCAGTCCTTCTGCCTCATCCTTCCAGAGTAGTGGAATCATAGGCCTGTGCCACCATGGCTAGCTGAAAAATATTCTGAAGGAAGAAGTTTTGAAAATTTGACTAGACTACAAGTCTCATATACATGTTAATGAATATGTGCACATCAGAAAAGAACTAATAGAAACTACAGTTTCGGTGTTAATGACTTGTGTCTAGATGTCCCCACAAAGCCTCATGCTGTCCTAGGTGAGGCTTTTCAGAGGTGGTTAGATCTAAAGTGTGTAATGCTGGGATTAAGGGGGTGTGATTACTGAATTAGTCCACTGATTGGTTTCCTAATAGTTTCCCGTGTGGATAATGGGAAGGTCCACCCTGGGTGTGAGTTCTACCACCCTAAGGGTGTGTGGCCTAGATAGACTATAAGAGACAGAAAGGGGGCTACTGCCTTCATCACTTACTGCCTTGGTACTTTGCTGCTGGCTGCCTTCTGCCTTCTACCTGCCCATGAACTGTTTCTCCTTTGCCATGCCACCCTTCCTTGGAGGCAGCCAACTGTGAACTGAAACCTCTACAAACTGAGCTACGATAAATCTTTCCTCCTTTAACTTTGGGTGTCAGATATTTTGCCTCAGCAATGAGAAAAGTAACCAAGACAATTGGTCTACATAGTAACAGTCTGACGATCTTTGGAATCAAACCATACTGGAAAAAAATTGTCTGATACTTTCTAGTTAGAAATCAGAATACTGATCCAATTCTTAAAAGTTGCTTGGCCCTGGATCTTAGTGTCCTCATCTATAATAAGGAATTATCCACCTTACAGAGTCATTTTTCTATTTAAAAAATATGCCAAATACTGTCCTAAGCAATGGATATTTAATGATGGACATAAGGGGTATCGTTTGTGTCCTCTTGGAATTTATAGTCTAGACACAGAGTCCAAAAAGAAAAAAGTATATAAATATTTACATAAACATATTACATAGTTACACTAGACATATGAAAAAATAGGTGGTATGGTAGACATGTAAAAGGGAGGCTGATTTAAATTGGACAGCCAGAGAAGGCCCTTCTGTCAAAGTGATGTTTAAGCTGTTATCTGAAGGGTAAATGAGCTAGCTACCTTAGGTAAAGCTAGGCAGATAAAGATTTTAAATAGAGAAAACAGCAGCAGATATAATGGCCTGAGGCAGGAAACAAATTTAATGTGTTTAAATAATTGAAAGGGACCTAGAGGGAAGGGGACTAAGAGATGAGAAAGGGAAGGGGAGGGAAAAAAATCAGATTTGTATGCGCAGGTACCAATCCTGTACGATGAATATAATTATTTTTTTTAAGTGAAGGACCTAGTATGCAGGAGTGAGGTGAAATGTGGTATGGAAAGAAGTATTGAGGGAGGTGAGGGCCATATTGTGAAGACCTTGTGGGTTACATTAAACAATTTTGATTATATAGATATTGAGAAGCCACTAAAGGACTTAGTGCAAGGATAAAAATATCCAGTTGATAGTTTAAAAAGATTTCTTAGGCTGCTGTCTAGGGATAGCACAGAGTGGAGGAAAATGGGGGACCAATAGAAGGCTGGTACAGTGACATGATGAATAGACTGAGGAACCAACAGGAATGATGCAGAAACGTGGATGCATTTGTTTTTAACTTTGGAGGTAGAATCTATGGGACTTGGCTTTGGAGTAGGAACAAGATAAAATGTCAAGAATGGCTCAGGTTGTGGATAGTGGTCACTAAGTGTCTTAGTCCATTTTTCTGTTGCTGTAACAAAACAATAATTTACAAAGAATAGGTTTATTTTGCTCATAGTTCTGGAGGCTGGGAAATCCAACATCATGGTGCTGGTATCTGCCCAGCAAATGGGGAGGGCCTTATTGTAACGTGGCAGAGGTTATTATCCAGTGAGACAGAGCATTCATTCTACAGAGAGCTCACTGTTACAGAAAAGTCACTCCCAAAATAGCCCATTAATCCACTAGCAAATGAGTCCATTCATGATAGCTCTGTCCTCATGATCCAATCACTTTCTACATATCTCATCTCTCAACACTATACTGTGTTGGGCCCAAGCTCCCAACACATGAAATTTGGGGGACACATTCAAACCATAGCAGTTAGGAACTGTTTATATCTCCAGCCCATGGAAATCAAGGCATAGTCTATTCATTCTAGATTCCTTTTTATTTTATCGAGATGGTTCTTGTCCCACTTGGGCTAATCTATACCAGTATATATACTTTTAGACTCCTTACTAATATAAAGAAATTATTAGAAAATTTTTTAAAAATAACATGTTTCTCAGATAGTGCATATATTTGCTTTTGTTGAAAGTCTTAGTGTCCTAAGAGACCCTCTCTCTAACTGAAAAACCGGAGTGTTAGGACAGCTCTCTAACTTTTAAAGACTCCACTGATGGTACCAAAGAGTGCATCCTGTACATCTGTTGGAACGTTTATTTATGTATCACTCAATGATCTGGTAGTTAATACATTTTCAAGAGTTCATTCATGTCAAGGGTGGTGACGCATGCCTGAAATCCCAGGGAGGCAGAGGCAGGAGAATTAGAAGTTTGAGCTCAGCCTGGGCAGTTTAGTGAGTTAGAAAGTTGTCTCAAAAATAAGGGTTGGGGATGTAGCTCACTGTGAAGGCCCTGAGATCAACCTCCAGTACTGAATTCAAACTAATCCAGTTTCTTTTCCTTGGATTTGCAATTATTATGTCATGTACAAAGGTGGTACATGTTATGCTAATAAATACTTGTCCTAGTTATACTACCAAATACTTGATGCCCTCGACAAAATTACTATTTCTTTTCAAGTTTAGTCCTTTCTAAATTAATCAGTGATTGAGTTTCATGCAGTTATTTTATTTTATTTTTTTGGTGCTGGGGATCGAACTCGGGTCCTTACACTTGCGTAGCAGGCGGCGAAACAACTGAGCTAAATCCCCAGCCCACATGCAGTTATTTTAAAAATTGAGTTGCCATCAACCTGAGGGATGAAAAGAAGTGGATTGGATTGAGGAGTAGTTGGAATAAACAGGCAATTGATTCAAAGATGAGACACATGTAATAATGATATATTGATAATTTGTGAGGTGTAGTAGCAATCTCGAGTAGAAAGGAGTTGAAATATGTCCTAAGTGCATCAGTCTAAGTTATTGGGCTCTTGCTATGAACTCAGGCTTTGGAGCCAGAATGCCTGGATTTGAATTTCCACTCTCACTTACTAGCTGTTACCTTAGACAAGTTACATTTCTCTATGATGCAGTTTCATCTGTAAGCTGAAGCTAGTAGTAGAACTTCTTACAGTTGTTACTTGACATTAATGAGTTATCACATGCAAAAGCCCATGAAAAAGTTAAGTCTTCAAACGTCACCATCGTAGTAGTAGTAGTATTTGGAAGCCACTAGCAATGGAATGTACAGAACAATCTCCAAGTTGACATAGCTCCAGCTGCTGAAGTGCCAGTGATGTCTTTTCCCCCACTGGTTGCTTTGTCTTCACAGTTCTGTAGTATCTAAGTATGGATTGTTTTATCTACAGTATTTGGTTTGCTACTTCAATTGTGTCTTTCTCAGCCATATCTCTTCATATATCACCTCTAACACATTTCTACTTTTTTTTTTCTGTAAACTCTTATTAAGAGGAGTTGATTCTAAATGCCCATATTTCATATTTCTATCTTTATGACTTTATTGTGTATAATGACAGATCTTCCAGTTCACTAATTTTTCCTCCATGTATTTCTAGTCTGATTTAAACTTATCCATTGTGGGCTCAAGATGTAGTTTAGTGATAGAGTACTTGCCTAGCGTGCATGAGGCCCTGTGTTTGATCCATAACTCAGCAAATGAAAAAAATTTTTGTACACTGAGTTTGTAATTTAAGCAACTACTTTTTAAATTTCCAGATGTTCTGTTTTGTTAAAATGTCTGTTCTTTTATCCTGTATTCAAATTATTCATTTTGCTTTTAATCTTTGTTGCATTGCTGTATCAGTCAGTGTTTACTAGAGAAACAGATATAACACGAGATGTACAAATATATAATAATTTACAAGATTGGCTTACAGTGGCCACCCACAGAGTTGGATGTGGAAGAGTCCAGAGGATCTGTCTGCACACTGGAGAACAAACAATTCAGTTGAAGGTCTGGAGCTCCCTGCAGAGTTTGTATCAGGAGGCTGATGGATCAACTATGAAAGGCTGAGGAGTCTCTGCCAGAAGCTGAAAACTGCACTGGAAGCCAAGGGATGAAGTCCAAGGTGAAGGTGAAGACTGGAGCTCCTCTGAAGAGACAGAAGCAGATCTGTTCTTCTTCATTTCCCATTTACACTATCCAGGCTAC